CAAATATAATACCGTTTCGATTTTATTGAACTGTCGTTAAAAACTAATTAACTTATTGTCGGAATGACTGCCATTAGTATTCTGACATCAAAATTACATTAGAGCATAGATATAAGGTCCGCTTAGATCTAAGGTCCGCTTAGCTCCGTTGAAAATTGTCTATGGAGGCTCAGTGCCCCCTCCAATTTGGGCCTCAAGATGTTTGAGGCCCTCAGATTCCACATATATGCACACACACAAACATGTATTATATGAGAGAAAGAGGCAACTGGATACCAGACATAAATATTAAAAAACAAACAAACATACATACATACAAACAGATACTCAGACAGATAGGCAGACAGATAACAGTAATAACTAATAATAATTTTGTGCTTTATTTTATGTTGATGAAACTCTGTAGTAACGCACCTGATGAGATACAGCGAAATATGCCTGGCAATAAATTGTGCAATGTATTGGTTGTATCCGCATTATTTAAATTCATTACGGGAAAACATTGTTTTGAATAATAACTAAAGCAGAACTCTTCTTCTACAATAGAGGATACCACAAATGTAACAATATTAGTCCCTTTTGCTACACTGTAGGATCGATGACGTGCCTTTTGTCGCAGTTAATTTCCCTAATATCTCATGTCCAATTAGTCTTATGAGGTCAATGGAGCGGTGATCTTATAATGTTTAAATTAACCAAGCTCTGTTTTATGGGAAATGAACCGTAACCTTGCGGAGTTCAGTATGAAGTTCAATTTATGGGGTTAATGGATCAATGACCGTACAGTGTGTATATTAGCTATGCCTCTTTTATACGTAATGAACTCTATACTCTTGCGAAGTTTGACTATACCCTCAATATGTGTAAATTGATTCTACTTCAACGACGTGTGATTTGACCACATCCTAACGACATCCATACTGACTACTCTCATGACGTGTAAATTGATGGTATTTTGACTTGTAAATTGACTGTATTTCAGTTATGTTTAAACTGACCAACCTCATGACACATAAGTTGACTATAATATACTGACGTGTATATCGACTATCCTGATGTCATGTAGACAGAGTGTACTCCTGTGACATGTAAACTGACAATCCTAATGACATATAAAACTAACTGTAGCCTTAAGTTATGCAAACTTGCCATCAACCAGTCAGCCATCAGGTCAATTACAGAAGTCTGTATCTCTTTACATCATTTCTAGCCAATTCTCTAGCCCTGTGTGCTTTTACCCCTGCAATATAAACAGTGATATAACTTTTTTTGGGGTGTGGGATGGGGTCTTGCATAAATTAAATGTACCCTCATAAATAGACTCTACTAAAGACCCTTATCGTATTAGTGTTACCTAGGGCTCGATTTGGGTTTGATGAGGGCTTAAGATGTATAAAGCTCCGAGGCCCCTCCGGTTTTACTTTATGTCGTGAGGTGAGCAGCCACCCTACACAATGGACGAGTAGCAACTTTGATTTCCTTCGCGGACAGTCAAATTTCAAACTCTAACCCGTCCGGAAAGGTATATAGTCCCTTATATTGATCTATACCTTTATCTGGTAAAATATTAATTTCTAGACCCTCTAGTTGCTTTGATAAATCTTCATTTTCAAACTTGCAACTGTAGGTTGGCGAATTCTGGTATTTTATTTAGAAATTCTTGTAAACCGGTTTACTCCTTAGGCAGGAATACAGGGGACTTCTTTCCTAGAGACGCTAGTTTGATTTAAAAAGAAAACATTCTTTCGCCCGATCCCGAAGTGTCAAGACGTGTACACAGTCTATGTAGAAATTGGCGCATTCAAAGTTCCATTTCTATCTTGGAAGATTTCCTAAGCTTGGGTAAATTGATTATAGTTTACGAGTACCACAATTGGTGTCTTTTTAAAGTTGGCCATTGCTGCAGAGAGGGCAGAGTCAGCTGTGTGATCGCACAGAGTTCGACAGTTCTTGATGTCCAGAGATCAGGGTCCGAACCTTAGACCTTCCCCTGTACAGACTAATTAGTTGGTGCTCTACATAACCCACACCATTTGTAAAGATATTAAACCCTAAAAGTAATTATTCTCTGACCAGTCAAACGAAGTTTTGTGTCGCATAACTGAAACAGGGAATTTAGGTCATCTCTAACCGGCAGTCAGGGCTAGGCGCTCTGAGTCTAAGGTGTGTTTGACACAGATTCAGTGGGTGTGTAGTGAACGGCCTGTGGAGACGGAATATATATATATATAGGTACTAACTGTAAACATTGTATGTCTGCGAGTGCAGATGTGAGGATGGAGAAAGGATGATCTATGTGTGGTAGTGTCTATTTATCTCCACTATATACCTTGTTTTCTATCTGTGGCACTATTTTACAGACAGATAAATGAAAGGAGATATTGTCTCCCGTTCTTGAGAGTTACACTCTGAGGATGGAGAAAGGTGGTAGAGGTGAGATGAGCTCATGTACTCTCCTGAACCAAGATCTGGCTGCTTCAATATCTGGGTTGTGTCATTGATTCCTGAGCTCCACTCAATGAACTCTTGTTGATCTATTCACTATTATATATATATATATATATATATATATATATATATATATATATATATATATATATATATATATATATATATATATATATATATATATATTAGGGCTGTACCGAATATTCGCTTCGTATTCGCTTCGGGGCCGAATAGTGGACCTATTGACTATTCGGTATTCGGCCGAATAGTTGCGGTCGAGCCGAATACGAATAGTAGTTACCTTACACCCGCTTCTGCATACAAGGCCGTAATGCTGACAACATGGAACGATTGGTTTTGTTGAAAGCTAATGCAGATTTCGTGCATTAACTAAGCGTCAGTTACAATTTCTAATTTTAGTTACTTGTTATAATACTTAGAATTTTTTCATTTCTAGTTATAGTTACCACAGACTGACTGAAGGATGCAAAACATAAAATGTTTTTAAATGTTTACTATTCTGTACGAATACTAACTAGACATGGAAATGAATATAAACTCCGGCCACATCCAAGTCGATATCAAAATCAAACGAACAGAAACATAAGTAATTGGGTGCAAACATGCTGAGAGAAGAAATACAATCTAAAATACAATCTAGAAATAAAGTATACTATGCCCTTCAACATCTGCTTAAGTCAGAAAGTGTCTGTCTCGCAACACCAAGATCAAAATATATAAAACGTTGATAAGACCAGTCGTTTTATATGGCTCTGAAACTTTAAGCAGAAATAAAAGAGGTAAGAACTTATTACAGGTTTTCGAAAACAGTCTTACGACAAATCTTTGGACCCATCAAAGATGCCAAAGGCAGAAACTGGAGAATGAGAACAACGTAACTCATAATCTGTTTAAATCACCATTGATCACTGGCATCATGAGAGCAAACAGACTAAAATGGTTGGGGCATATTGAAAGCATGTCAGATGACAGAGGAGTAAAAACTGTATACACATGAGAGAGGAATGGGCGTAGACCACGAAGCAGACTGAAAAGAAGTTCGAGAGATAATGTCCAGCCAAACCTGCAAACAAGTGGTGTCACAAATTGTGAAGAGAAGGCCAGCCAGAGAGATGAATGGAGACGAGTGATATCTTCAACAGTAAACCTCAAGGGCTCATAATGCTAAAGAAAAATATGACTATTCTATGCTACTTTATGTGAAGTAAAAGTTTAGCGTACATTTGACATTATGAATGTGTGTGTGTGTTTTTTATTTTTTTAAAGATATATTTTATACACTATACACTATTCGTATTCGTATTCGGCCGAACAGTGAAAATCACTATTCGGTACAGCCCTAATATATATATATATATATATATATATATATATATATATATATATATATATATATATATATATATATATATATATATATATATATATATATATTGTACCGATTACATGCACACATTTTCACGGCTGACTTGGGTGTCCCTATTTCACCATTCTAACTGTCTAGCTCTGATGATTGTGTGAGCAATAAGTGTTATATGTGTTAACATGGTTATGATATTAGACTATCATAACCTTGGGGCTATCTTTTTATAGTAGTGGGCGTATCCAGCCAAGTGTGCCTAGGAATATTATATATTTTGTAGTGCCAAAACTTGAGTGGCCCTACTCCTGAAATAAGTTGAGCGTATATGGCCACGGGGCATCCCTTAGACCAATACGAGCCAACGACTCAACATAATTATTTCAGAGTGCTGTTGGTTCTTAAGGAGAAATCCTTAAATCAGGCACACGACAGGAGCGATATGTGACACTTTACACCAGATGATCTCAAAGAACTTTGAAACACATAATTCTTTCGAGCAGATGTATATGGATAATGGAAACATAATACCGTTTAACTGTTAGAAATAGAAATAATATCGAACGTGTTTGCAAAATCACAGAAACGATAGTGCTCTAAAGGGCTCATATTTACAAATTATTATATTGTTTTCTTGATTTAACGAAAGCAAAATCGCTGATTAGAACCAATTAGAATAAATAAAAGACTGAGATAATATAACCAAAATAATATTAATAAAAGTAGAAAATTGATGGGTGGAAAAATTTAAAATATACTGAGAGAAAATTGCATTGTGAAGAAGAAAAGAATTGTCTGAGGCCCCTGAGGATTGTGAAGCCTTAGCTGTAGACTTTTAGCTGATGCTCAAATCCAGCAATAGTGTTACATTTCCTTTGAAGCAAAGAAGACAAACCACTGCAACTGTCAACATATGCCATTACAATAGTTCCCCCGCTTTATGCCATGGAATTGGGGGGGGGGGGGAGAGGAGGGGGGAGACTGCATCCCTGTTCTTAACTGGCATCACCACCGGTTGTGACTCTTATGCCCCCTCCCACATATAGAACTAATGAGCACTATCATTACGACAAAGACGACAAAAGTGCCGATGTTTATAGACGCTTCTCTGAATTATGTTGGGCTTTAACCAACTGGAAGGACATACAATAGAAATTCGTGAACAACTTACCTGTTAATACTCTCAACCGCCATCAGAAATGCCTCTACGCGCTGTATCCCGTAGGTTTCCCAGATCAGACCACACTGGCGGCTGTACGTGTTGTTCACAGCAGGTGAATTGTGAAGGGGAAATATGGCGCCGATGATAACATCCCCTTCCTCTCTAGCCCTGGTGTTTCTGTTACTAGTTATAGGTACCACAACTGATGGCACTTGTCGTTGCCGGCGAGACAGATTAACATCAACATTAGGTATTTCCACAACATTCTTATCTATATCATCTACAGCAGCAACATTTTCTTTCCAACTGTCGTTAAAAGAAAACTGATGTTGTGTCGATATGGTATTGTTACTACTGGGTTTTTTGTCTGGCGAGTGATTATTTTTCCTGTTACTTGCATCTCTTTTTCTTATTCTGACAAGCTTTAGTGGCATCTTAGTTTGTTTGGGACTAGAAGCTACAACAGAGCCCTTACTCGTATCACTGATTCCGTGATGAAAACCTCGAAATAAAAGATTCCAAATGTCAGTCCGATTATATTTAGTCAATACGGCGATTGGGCTTCTCTTTTTGTGTTTTCCTTTCGCACTGTTAAATACTTCATTACGATTTAATAGTTGCTCTTCACTTGTAGCAATGTGTAACCTGTCTTCTTTGACTAGTTTACTTGCTACAATATGTGCTGGTATTTCCATTCCTCCATTTAACACATCTGGTTTCCTGTCAGTAATTCCGTGGTTTTGTAACAGTTTTTCATTTGTATTCTTCCCCTCCGCAGACACCAACTCTTGAATCTCGCCGATTTGTTCAGACGTGCCATAAAGTACTCGACTATTTGACAAGCTGTAATTCAAAGCTCCATGGCCATAGTATTTCTCCGGACTGACTGCCGCATGTTGGACTGATTCAGCGCTAACCAAGACTATGAATTTACCCAAAACGATTACGATGATGATAGTCCACATGAAAATTTGCAGCCCATAAAACATGTCCAACATTGGGGATGCTTTGAGGTTAAATTATGTCCAGTTTGAGATATTCAGTTAAACTGTTAGCTGCAGACTCCGTCTCGTTAATTTCGACAATGGTAGGAGCTTAGAACCGTTCAGTAGCAATAGCAAAGTAAGGAACGTAAAAATTGCCTTGTAAAAATTGCCTTGTAAAACCACTAACAACCAACACATGTTCAGGTTGGGTGGCTACGGCATGTAAACTAATTTACAACTAATTCAACATTTACCTAATTGCCATAGTTATCGCCATAGCTGTTTACGCATGTTGAAGATCTGTTTGTTTCCTCTTTGTCCATGAGAAGGAAGCACAAGTGTGATCACTTATTCGAGGATTGCGCGACTACTGAGTAGGAGATGGGAGAACCTTCGGATTTGTCTCGAGTGTTGTATTGATACTCTAACTAATCACTAGTATACCTGGCTGCCAATCAATACATGTCAATATATTTATTATGCTGTTTCAATGGTTTTCGGCCGATTTATTCCATCCATACGTCAAATAATCGCCGACCTCTATTGTTCCCAAAAGTGGTCACAATCAATCGTCCAGATCGTTCACAATCCAGATTTGTTCAGTCAAAAAAGACACTGTCAAGGACCTGCGTTTATCTTGGTAAAACAAGCAGTTACTTTGGGAAAATGGTGGGGAAGGATGGTGATTTTCTATTTTCTATTTGAGCTGAAAGAATAATTTGATATCTTCGTTTTATTCAGCAGGTAATGCAGTTTACACTTATTGAGATACAGAGATATAGCGGAACGTACAAGCCCATAAATTGTGCAATTTACTGCTGCAATAGCCTCAATGGTTCACAGGCGAAAATATTCAAGGTTTCTCCATGTCCCATCCTGGAAATCTTGAATTAAGTCATTGCAAGGTAGCTCGGGTTATGAATCTGGGTTCCAGATTTTACATTTAACGGGTCAACCACATAACATAACATCTCCGTTCCTGTATAAGTGAAAACTACTTTGAATGCATATTACTGTCCCGTGTGAAAAGTAAAAAAGACAGTAGTCCCGGAAATCCAACATGTAATACCCTCATTAAATGCACAAGGCTGCCACCAGAAGTACCCACACCAACATTTTATCATTAGAATTACATATCAGAGTTTGCAGTTAAAACCACTGTTGAAACATCCGTCCAAAGAATCTAAATTCTGTCCGTAACTCTGTGATCTTGTATAGAAGTTTTCTCCCACGTAGACACATTCAACAGCAGCTGTTGTTACTTCCAAGACGTCCTAACTGTATGAAGCACAAGGTACCCGTAGAATGAAATCTATGTGGAAGAGATACACAATAATAACCAGAGCAACTGTCATTGTGTATTAATAGAATAATAACGTATATTTCAAGCAGATTGTTTTTCAAACGCGACTTTGGCACCAAGGTCGACCCAGCATTAAATTGCCACCAGGATAAGTCCTGGCAAGTAAAGGGGAGCGGGTGCTTTTGACCCCATCACCCATCGATTAGTGAGTCTATTAAAAAAATATGAGTCAAGCTTCATAGGTCCGATACGCCATTGACGTGTAAATGGACGTTTCCGATTTTTTTTTTTACTTCAAACATTTCTGGAGTGCAGAAGTTCGTTAAATCCGCGTAGGGTCGTCATTGGCGCTAGGGAACTTCCTCCTTTGTGTGTAACCCTCTCAGCAGAGAGAGAGAGAGAGAGAGACCGCCTGTGTATTTCTGAGTTTCTGTGCATTTATTCGCGGGTCTGTGTATGCGTGTGTGCGTTTTTTGTAGTATGAGTTTGTGTAAGGCTTTGGAAAGGTGTGTGTTTTTGTTATGTGTGTGCGTTTCTGAGCGTATCTGTGTATGTGTCAGTATGTGTATGTTTGTGTGTGTGTGTATGTGTGCATGTTTTCTTGTTCTTCTTCTTGTTCTTCTTGTTCTTGTACTTGTTCTTCTTCTTCTTCTTGTTCTTCTTGTTCTTCTTCTTCTTCTTCTTCTTCTTCTTCTTCTTTTCTTCCTTTCTTCTTCTTCTTCTTCTTCTTCTTCTTCTTCTTCTTCTTCTTCTTCTTCTTCTTTCTTCTTCTTCTTCTTTCTTCTTCTTCTTCTTCTTCTTCTTCTTCTTCTTCTTCTTCTTCTTCTTCTTCTTCTTCTTTCTTCTTCTTCTTCTTGTTTTCTTCTTTCTTCTTGTTATTATTCTTCTTCTTCTTTCTTCTTCTTCTTCTTCTTCTTCTTCTTCTTCTTCTTCTTCTTCTTCTTCTTCTTCTTCTTCTTCTTCTTCTTCTTCTTCTTCTTCTTCTTCTTCTTCTTCTTCTTCTTCTTCTTCTTCTTCTTCTTCTTCTTCTTCTTCTTCTTCTTCTTCTTCTTCTTCTTCTTCTTCTTCTTCTTCTTCTTCTTCTTTCTTCTTCTTTTTTCTCCTCATCCCCTTTTTCTTTTTCCTTCTTCTCTTCTTCTTCTTCTTCTTCTTCTTCTTTTTCTTCTTCTTCTTCTTATTATTATTATTATTATTACTATTTATTACTATTTACCTTGCGTGCACATCGATTTTACAGTCTGATTCATGTAAATGCACACAACTGAGTCCTTGCCTCTCAAGCAGAGGCACTCCGACTTCGAAGGAAGTTCCCAATAAGTCGACTCTTACAACATACTTTTGGGTAGGCAGTGGGTCTATTCATGTCCCCCCCCACAATGGGATCATGAAACCCACATGGGGAGCTAACAAGACACAACATTCATCTAAGGTGGATGCTCGCAAAAATAAAATCTGTAGATATGAAACTATTTTCAGATTCCTCAATAATGTAAACGCCATTAGGGCTTCCAGCCGTCGGGTATTTCTCCTAATTTATTTCCGCTGCTGTTGGAAAACAGCTCATTTCGCTGAAAATGTTTGCCTAGCGGTCCAATTTCCTGCCAGTTGTGCAGAGCAGCGTGGAATATTTATTGATGGTGGATTTTTGATTGTATCATAAATATACTTCTTGTTCCTTTTTATAAAGAAAAAAATACTTGATGTTGGTTTTATCAATAAATACAAGGCCATGGAGTTATGGAATGATGACAAAACTGAGTGGAGACTTCAGACTTCACATGTGGTTTTAGACTCGAATGATGAGAATACCTTTTTTTTTCTTTCCTTCTATATAACCCCAAATGTCGCTGTCAGCGTCAGGTTTTGAAGAGGAAACAAGTGCGAGCCCTGGTGTGTAATGTGTTGATGCTGCCTGGTGTGTAATGTGTTGATGCTGCCTGGTGTGTAATGTGTTGATGCTGCCTGGTGTGTAATGTGTTGATGCTGCCTGGTGTGTAATGTGTTGATGCTGCCTGGTGTGTAATGTGTTGATGCTGCCTGGTGTGTAATGTGTTGATTTTTGCCTGGTGTGTAATGTGTTGATGCTGCCTGGTGTGTAATGTGTTGATGCTGCCTGGTGTGTAATGTGTTGATGCTGCCTGGTGTGTAATGTGTTGATGCTAGTATTTTGGTGGGGGGTGGTTCAATCGGGGTCTCACACAATTTTATAATTGAGTGAATTTGTATTTTAATAAATTTTTTAGTGTAGTTCATAAAGAAAGTAATAAAATATTTTATAAAACTATTTAAAAAATATACAACTAATTTTCTTTGTTTTCATCAGCAGTTTTTATATCTGCAGTAAATATCTATTTAATATGATAATACGGGCATAGGTAGATAAGGAAAGCATTCTGATCAGAACGTGTACTGTCTCTTTCTCTTTTGAAGAGTCTATTGCCCTCCTCTTTTTAGTCACGTATTGTTATATAGGGGAAGAGGGGACAAGAGACAGGGGTAGGGTTTTTTTTTCTTCTTCTCTCCATATACTAAAAAAAAAAAAAAGGGGAAGGGGGGGGGGGGGGGGCTAGGGCCCTGCCATATACTCAAGTGGCGCGGGGGTCTTGTCATATATTCAAAGGGTGCGCAAGGTCTTGTCATATACTCAATGTGGCGCGCGTGAGTCTTGCCAAATACAAAATGGGCGCGGGGGTCTTGCCATATACTAAAGGGGTGCGGGGGTCTTGTCATATATTCAAAGGGTGCGCAAGGTCTTGTCATATACTCAATGTGGCGCGCGGGAGTCTTGCCAAATACAAAATGGGCGCGGGGGTCTTGCCATATACTAAAGGGGTGCGGGGGTCTTGTCATATACTAAAGGGGCGCGGGGGTCTTGCCATATACTAAAGGGGGCGGGGGTCTTGCCATATACTAAAGGGGCGGGGGGGGTCTTGCCATATACCCAAGGAGCGCGGGGGTCTTGCCATATACTAAAGGGGCGCGGGGGTCTTGTCATATACTAAAGGGGCACGGGGGTCTTGCCATATACTAAAGGGGCGCGGGGGTCTTGCCATATACTCAAGGAGCGCAGGGGTCTTGCCATATACTCAAGGAGCGCGGGGGTCTTGCCATATACTAAAGGGGCACGGCGGTCTTGCCATATACTAAAGGGGCACGGGGGTCTTGCCATTTACTAAAGGAGCACGAAGGTCTTGCCATATACTAAAGGGGCACGGGGGTCCTGTCATATACTAAAGGGGCACGGGGGTCTTGCCATATACTAAAGGGGCGCAGGGGGTCTTGCCATATACTAAAGGGGCACGGGGGTCTTGCCATATACTAAAAGGGCGCAGGTGGTCTTGCCATATACTAAAGGGGCGCAGGGGGTCTTGCCATATACTAAAGGGGCACGGGGGTCTTGCCATATACTAAAGGGGCGCAGGGGTCTTGCCATATACTCAAATTGCGCAGGGGGTCTTGTCATATACTCAAGCGGCACGGGGGTCTTGCCATATACTCAAGGAGGCGCGACCTGAACAGAGGGTGGAGACAACTAGCCTACTAGAATTGTGCTGAGAGCGGAGAGAGAGAGAGAGAGAGAGAGAGAGAGAGAGAGAGAGAGAGAGAGAGAGAGAGAGAGAGAGAGAGAGAGAGAGAGAGAGAGTAGCTGTTATCGTTTCCTTCTAATAACACATCAGGAATCTGAAATCTGTGTGTTTTTTCCTGTCGC